CCCTAAGTAATGAAAAATAAAGTACAGTGAAAGCAATGAAGATTTTGTAGGTTTTGAACCAAACTAAATAACAGAAAACCTTTTTTTGATTTACGGTATTTTCTTATTTGATGTTTTGAGCTCTTTTGTGTTTAGAACAATATATACTAACTTTTAAAGTATCCAATTGAATTTTTGTTCAATAAAAATCTTTCAAATGCGACTGTAGCTTTTTTTCCCCAAAACTTTGTATTCAAAATAAGGTTGCGTCTTATATTCTGAAAAATACGGTACTCACCAAATTCTGACTCTCATTAGAAACGTTTTGAAGCTGTCTTAAGTACGTTTTCCAAATTGATTCATCTCACAAACCAAAAGACGCCAACCATAGTACATAGTCTCGCCAACACGATCTTGACCTTGATCAGTACACGTCCAATCTTCCACCTATAATTTTTTTGCATATATTAGCATCCTTTCCTCTTATTATGAAATTATAGATTTCTTTAATTTTTCATGGTATCTTTCACTTTTGAAATTTTTTATAACAAAATAAATCAAGTATTTTAAAATCATCTATCGAATTTAATCTAGTATCGAGCTTTGGAAAACTGTCCATATACACACAATCGTATTCATAAAACCCTTTTACGAGAAAAATATTCTCAGATCAATGCCAAATTAGCTTAATTCAATGGCATGCATCCAACGAAAATCGGTATATATATATATAGATAGATGGATAGATAGATAGGTACGAGGCTGCTGAGATGTCCCAGCTGTTGTTGATTTGAGCTTAGGATGTTTTCTTTCGCATAATATAACTAAAACCATTGAACCACTGTTGAAAATTTTGGTAAATAAATGAGGTGAGTATATCATTTATAAATATGTAAGAAGTTAATCAAACACGACTCCAAATTTGCTAAATGTCAGCAAAAAACGTAAGAACTCCCATCACTACCAAAGAAAAAATAATAATTCACTTAAAAATATCACTATTAGATAACGGCTCGTACTTTATTTAAAGTTAATCATTAGAGGAAAATAATAATAAAAAGCAAATTGTCTCATTGAAAAAACATATGTTTGCAATGTATCACTATAACAACAACGATTTTAGTCTTTTCATATAAACCTATTATTTTGTAATTTTTCCTTACAAGTTCTTACAGTATGTTCTTTCGTAAATATTTTCTCCGCCATTTAACAAAAATTATTGTCATTATTTTGTATTTAGTATAAATATTAGAAATAATATTTTGCATATTGTCAACCCATTGCTTTTGCTTCATAAAAGCACAATATAATTTGTTCCGGTTTTGTGTTGGTTGTTTGTTTTGAGCTTCACAAATACATATTAAAGGTTTATCATAAGTTAAATAAGTGTGTGTAAATGAGTACGACGGGGAGGCTAAAAATATTAAGCTGTTAAACTTTGAATAGCTTTTTAATCCATATCAACTTCTTATTTCGAAAATTATGAGATAATTTATGAGACTCTCCTACAAAAGTTACCACAGGCCCACAAGTACTTCATCCGATTCTGCTCATTTATCATTCATTGTTTCACTTTACTAATATTTATGCCGAACTCGCTTTTTACTTATTACATCCTGTGCCCTTTAGTAAACATCTAAATTAAAACATTGAAAATACAGCTTACAATACTGATACTTTCCTGGATTGTGGAGTCCTTTGAGTGATCCTCATACAAATGAAACAGTGCACTAAACTGTCCATTCACCAGGTCTTTTTAGTGTTTTTTCTTTTCTGAGAGGTATGGTATACAGATGGGATGGCTTCTTGTCCTTTGTCATCACTTCCTGTCCTGTCACTGGAGGAGTTTTCTCTGGGTTGGTGGTCGAGCGAATCCACTAGT